TGTACCAGGCACTTGGGCAGGGTGGTGTCATCCTTACTCATGGTGATGAAAACACATCAGCAGTCCCACTGACTGCTCTGGTTACAACACGCGAGTGAGCAATCACCAAACTGAGCAAAGGTTACAAAATCTCATACATAACTTCTCTGCACCTGGGTTAACTACTAAGAAAAATTATTATTTCGTTTTCTTAATGAGCGGTGCAAGCTAAAATACCTTAGCTTGAGAAGAAAGATACTGCAGAAGGGTAGTGGAATGACAGGATGAACCTATTAAGCTCCCCATCTTATGTTGTGATATTCAGCGGCTTTGATAATGCTCTCTCTGAAATCCCAAACAGGAGACTTCCTCCCAGGTGTGAAATATTCTGGGTCAAAGTCCAATTACTGTCCCTGAGCTGTGCTCCCACCTGGCCTCCTGTAGGATATCTCTATCTATGAACAAGCATCATGATCATATTTAAATATTTAATCTTCTTTAAATTTATTACTAAAAAACTTGACTGAAATCCATTCAGAAAATATCTGTTTCTGACATAAATGTTGAGTTTTTGAGTTTTCCTGATAGGGGTTTGTATGTTTGTTTGTTTGTTTGTTTCCCTTTGACAGAAAAAAATGTCCATGTTGTCTCTGCCAGATGAGGAAAGCAGGTCATGTTGAAAAAGTGGGTAACATGCTGTTAGCACACCCACCCCCAAACAAACCAGTGATAAATGCTACTTGAAGCAGGTTTAACATATCTGAGAGATTAGGATCAGTCTTTGTCTCTACCCTAGATAGCTTGCTTTTAAATGTGACCTCCTTTCCTTGCCTAGACAGATGCTCTTTGTCTGCTGGGACCACTCCCCATAAAGCCATCCTGACAGCTACTTCGCTTCCCAGTCTCTCCCGAAGGGCCAAGGCTCTTCCAAGTGGTTTCCTCCTACTGAAAAGACTATAATTAGCTGCTTCCTCCATTTCCCTCTGTTTAAAACTGGCGTTATCCAGCCTTTCTTCCTATCTTCTGAAGCCTCATCCCCCATCCTTTCCTGCTTTCGGACACATGTAAAAGGAAATGCTATGCTATGGGAGTGTAAGCACATTGTTTAATAAAGACAAAATACAAAGTTTTATGGTAAAGAATCGACATTTTCTTCCTTTCCCATTGGGCTCTGGCTTATCTGTATCCCAAAATAGATACTACCTCCTTCTTTCTGAGCTATTACTTCCTCCACATTTATGCTAAATATTGTTATTACCCTGTTTATCTCAGTAGCCCAAATATTAAGATTTCCTTTATTGCTCCAGTATATTTCCCACCATATATAAGCAGCTGCATAATAAGCTTTCCTGTACATTTCTATCAGTGGAATAGCTTTTGAAAATGTAAATTGAGCAACAGTACTGAGATTCAAAAACTTCAGCTGAGAATGTATTTTAAAAGAATGTTATGAGGAAATTCTTGGTTTATAAAGAATTTGAAGCTGAGAAGTCTCCAAAATCTTACAAGCAGAGAGTTTTCTTACAAAAAAAAGTCAGATTTCACAGTTCATTTGACAGAATTTAGTGTCGATATTTTTAAACTTCTCCCAAATAAATCCCCAAAACAAAGAAAAAACCAAACCCCCAAAACCTCAGAATCTTAGCATCTTCTAAAAATTGTCTCTGCAAATTTAGGGAACTTGTCTTAGTTTAAAAAAATTATGTGTCAGCTTTTCAGATTTTTCCTACTCAATTATGCTGGTCTCAGATCACCAAAGAAATGACTGAAAAGCTATTTTAAGTTATTTCATGTGCTAGTTTATCCAAGCCAAGCTTTGTAATAAAAATGTGACAATTAGCATCCCTTTGTAATTTAATACAAATTTATTCCTTTTTAATTTATTATAAATTTATTCCTTTTAAATTCATTTCAAAGGAGGATAACTTTACAAAATAATATTCTAGCTTTTTGCATTAGGCTTTGGCAAGTACATTCTTATCTACTGAACTATATGTGTTTGAAAATAGATATACAGTACTTCAAACAGCAGTTCTGAATTATTGTGAAAGCATAGATATTAGCATGTATTTCTTTTTGGCTTTCTAGCCTAGGACATTTTGTAGGACACGTATTCACTTTGCCAATTAAAGTTCTTGTGTCAGTCTCAGTCTTGAGAAGCCCTAAATCCTGTTGTTCATTTCCATACTTTCTTCCTGTCAGTTGTATCCATCATTTCATAATTCTAAAGTCTAAGTTGCTGAATCCAGAATCTCCACCCAGTCCAAAAGGCTTCTGCATGTCTTTGCACACCATAACTTTCAAGATAATTACCCTGTCAAGACCTATAGAATAAGCACCCAGTTAGGTTTTGTGTTTCAAACCACTCAGATGACATACTAGACAAATCTCACTTATTCCTTCACCACTAAACATAAACTCTGATTCCACCTCTTCAGCTAAGGTTAGTTAGTTAGTATTGTCTAGAGGAATTTCTGGTAGTCAGAATGCAGTAGGTCGGACAAGGAAACATCTAAAATGTGAGCAGTTTCACCCAAACTCTCTCAAAACTCTAACACTACTCAAGAAGTTTATCCTACTCCTTGTCTAAACTCAAGCTTATTGCTGGGTTTTCCTGGTGAGGACCTCTGCTATCATAGCTTGTGTACGCTGGTATAAGCCAGTAAAGTAAGTGTATGGCCTAGGAAATCCAGTGTGCCTGGGGATGTTCCCAGGCCAAAATGGAGCCAGAGAAAAACCTCATGGTTTACCAATGTCAGTGACTGTCTTTAGCCTACCAATACAGTCACAGAAGACTGGCAAACCTCAGGACTACTGCAGGCACTTGGTTCTGCTGTTTTGGCATTAGCACAGGAATCTTCTGCATGGACAGAGGTTCAGAGCAGCAGCAGTGTGCCACTTCCAGAGATTTGGTGCCCATGTGGTATCAGAAAGGAGAATCAGTACCTGTCGCTGGGAGAATTTATGCTGAAGTTATGGGGAGCCCCATGAGCTGTTCTGCCATGAGGATTACACAGTAAAACAAGGGGCTCTCATCTTGCTGGACAAATAAGATGCTCATTTGGTTTAAACAGAAATTCACTGTGACATCCTTTATCAGTGAAGACAATTATCTGCTTGAGAGAAAGAATGGCCAAATAATGATACAAGAACAGAAAGCTGTCAAAGAAAAGCTATTACACATTCGGCTTTTATTTAAAATGACCTTTGGCCCCCAGAACAGCCAGGGCACTTCCCCACATGCTTCTACCACTGTTGGCAGAGAATGAGACTTAGAGAGAGCAAAGTACAGCAGCAGCAGTGGCAGCATCATCCCTGCCAGGCCCCAGCTCTGTGCTGATTCAGGTTGTCACTGAGCCAACAGAGACTTTCATTGCACAGCAATTCATCTACCAATGCTTTAAAACAAGACTGCAGCCCTTTCCTCATTTGACTGGCTCACTGAAAGGCCACAGTAAAATCTGCTGGTTTAGCTTCTCTTATGGAGGGTAACATTCCAATTATTTTGACATTGTGAAATCTGGACTTTGCTAAGCAGGTAGGAGAAGTAATAAATGCTATGAGGTTACTCTGAACTGTCTGTTGGCATTCATGTCCCAGGAGACAACTGGTTGGAGCAACAACTATCAGGCTCAGTTATACTGGAAAGACACTTGAAGCAAAAACTGCCAGTTAATGGGGATACCTGAAGGAGGGATGGTGTCAGAGGAACTCGGTAGAAAACAACCTGAAATGTCCCTTTCCACATGCTCTGTAATTAAACATAAGAGGAGTAAAGATTTTCCTTCAGAAAAAAAAACACTCCTAAGGGAGACTCAACAACTTACATAAAAACAAATGAGAGAAAATGACTCAGAATGCAAAATCCAAGACTGTAACACAGCCAGAGGCATTTGGCTGAGGACAGTGAGCCAGCAGCAATTGCTGCAGGGGACACCATTGTAGATTTGGCTGCAGAGATGTTTCCAGGCAGTCAGCCCACATGAATGGAATAATGGCATCTACGTGGCTGAGAGATATCCCTGCTGGATCAGATCAGGATATTCTGATGGCTGAGTTAAAGGAACAGTCCTTTTTGTTTGAGAGGAGCATATCTGGCTATCTCATTGAGCATAGGATACTTGTGAATAGGTTTGCCTGTGTCAGGAAACACCTCTTAGCTCCAGGTGAACAGCCTTTTTGCAGAAGTTCCACCTTGCCTGTCCCCATCCTTCCCCAAATCATGTGACTGAGAGGCTGGAGAGTTTAAGTCTCTAAGTCATCTGTCCTTGAGGAGAAGTCTGCAGTTAGAACTCCTTTTGTGCAAGGAAGCTGCTGAGCAGCTGTAGCCTGAAGAAAAAAAAACCAAACAAACCAGCCAACAAATGGTTGCCAGCTGGGGTCAAAGCAGAAGCTCAGCAGGGTTTGTTTGGGGATTGCTAGGGAAAACAATGAAGAGGTTAGCAATGAGAGAAGTGGCCTCTTCAAAAGTGAGTTTCTGTGGACTGGGGAAAACTTCTTGGCAGGTCAGGAGCCACCTGTGGGGACCAGGATGAGGTAAGGCCCAGATTTTTCTCTCTGTGTTGCAGCTGCCTCCTTGATGGTGGTCTGCAGTGCCCAGGGCTCACTTCTCTGCAGAGATGCTGTGGGCCTGAAAAGGTGCTAGGAAACTCTGCAATTTCATTGCCATTCAAAATTCCAGTGAAAAGTAATCTCTGGATCTGATATGGAATTCAGTCTTTGAATTTGCCTTGCAAGGCAAAGAAGGAGATGGTTAGGAAACCTGAGAGACAGGTCAACTGTTTAGAAATGTGGGAAAAATGTTCAGTGTGGGTACAGTCCTTCATAGGGAGGGCCATGATTGTAGATTGGGTGGCCAGAGGCTGCCACCAGTCCTATCTCAACAGATGCAGGGTGAATCCTGCATTGTTTGTGGTGGAAAACAAAGCTTGGAAATAGAAGATTCACAAAAGACAACGAAAAATATTTGGTTTCATGACTCACTGCAGTGCTTAAGGGGTTTTATGTTTGTTTGGGTTTTTTTAAATGTCATATTACAGTAACATTTCCTCTTCCATTTGTTATCATAACTTTAAGGAGTCTCTTTTCACTTTAATTTAATTTTGTGACATTTTCTGTAGCAGCAATTTTTTTATTCTTCTAAACACCATGGACCAATGTAGCGATGACAGGAAACACCAGCAACCTCCTGATAAAGAACAACTTTTGGGTAAACACACCACCAGAGACAAACTGAATGATGTGATATGCTGACAAAACCCACAGGTTGGGTTCAAGAAAATGAGAAAAGATACTTCATCATAGAGCAGGTCTTGTCCTCAGCATCTCTTAGGTAAGCTCACTGCAGTAATTTCTAAATGTCAGCTGTTACTTTGATAGCATAATGCTTTTTTTATTTGTTCAGTGACAGTTTTTGATGTCAAGAGCAGCTGTGTTCAGTCTTCTTTATTTAAAAAAAATAGAGTAGAGGTTAGCATCTGAAAAAATCTGCTTTGTGTGACTAACCACAAACAGGACACATGACTGAGTGGTGCTGCGTTTGCTGTGTTCCCCTTCAGTTTGAACAGTTTGAACAAGTAAATTTAAAGGGGAACTCTGAGTTTACAGAATGTGTTTAGAGCTCCTCATCAAAGCAAGCTCCAAATTTTGCCCTCTATCAAAAAAAAAAAATAAAAATCTGTACTCTGGAAAAGGGAGAAACAGAATTTGCTCCTCTCTGTCTTCTCTCTTTAACCTCAGTGTAAGAGTCAGATTTCCAGAAAAGATTTGTAGGGTTTTTGACATCTGCCTTTCCTGGGTAGCTAGAGCTTTCCCTAGGGCTGTTTCTGATAATTTGAAGGAAAGAAGTGGCAGCTAGTATGAACATCTCACTTGCAGAAAGAAGTGAAGCACTTAAATCCCTAAGGTATCATTTTCATTTTAACACTGGTAATAAATGCTTGAGCAGAATCATTGGTTTTGCTGGTAATACTGGATTTTTAAAAGAGGTTAGAATACTTAATTCTATAAAGTGTCTTGGAACTGCCAACTGTTTCATACTCCTACTAGTCAATTATGTTGTACCCTGCAACCAAAGAAAAATGCTTTTCTTCAAAACCTGAGGCAGTGTTACAAAAAAACCCATAGATACTTGAAATTTTCTGACCTGCCCACAGTCACATAATTTGCTTAGCAGCAATGCAAGATATGCAGCCTACAAAGCCTCTTTTGTAGCCATCATGTAGCCACAGGCTTTACTTTTTCTCCTCTTGTGCATTATTATCTCTGTACTGGGATAGCAAGGTCTTTATTGGCTACAATGCGCAGAAACAAATCATAAGGGTGTAAGGGACCCAAAGATTCCAAGATCCTCCCTCAAGACAGGATAAAGAGGTCTACATTTAGTTATAGTACAATGCAATTCATGAAAGCTTCTACTTTCTCCCTTTATTTTATCCCCTCTTAGGCTAGTCTGGGGTAGAAGACAGGTTATGCACTGGAGATCTAACGTGGGTTGACACAAGTGAGAAATATATAAGCACTAGAAAGAAGCTTCATAGCTCTTTCTCTAGCTGCAGGACACCCTCACCCTAATAGAGACAACAGCTAGTGGAAGTTAATACTGCTTTGCATTTGCTTTGAAGCATTTCTCATCACCCTGACCTTAAAGTGATCATTAAAGGTGAGTTTATAAATGCAGGGAGACCTGCTGATCAGCATCTTCTTCCTGTGGAACAATTTCACTGACCATTATTTCTAAAGGGATCAGTGGCTCAAAATAATATTTGAGGGTTAAAGGATGCTAAAACCTGATTTAGTCTTTTGGTGATCTCATAATACAAATGCTACAGGACTGAATTCCTTGTGTATGGAAACAGAGCCAACAAGAGACCCTGAAATTCCCAAAATTTCCATGATGAAAACAGAAAAAATGTGACAGCATAATAAACTGTTAGAAATGGAAAATTACAAACTATTTGAAAAGTCAGAAATGTATTGCCCCAAAACATCTGTCTGTGTCATGGGGAAAAACTGTGAGTGAGTGCTGTGCACACTGGGGAGTGAAGAGTAAACCAGGGATACAATAAATTTGAAATCCGTGCTGGTCAGTTGAAATGCTAATTCCTGTTTTTATAAAGAGAGCACACAAATTAGTTTATTTACATTTAAAAGCATATACTCATGACAGAACATTTATCCACAGGGTCTGCAACTTTGCTTGCTCACTGTCACAATGCAGAGCAAAGCATGCCTTACAAAGGTTCTGATACTGACTGTCCTTTGATTTTAATATAAATGCCTGTAGATATATGCCCATAGATTTGACCCCACTTTCATTAAGCTGACTCAAAAAGCTGCAGCCTGGTGCTGCACTGGCAGACTCACAGTGTGCCACTGCTCCCCTCCAAAGAAACTCAGACCAGCACAGAAGGGCTCCGACCACATTTGTCCTTCTGTAGCCTTCTGCAGCTTTCTTCTCAGTGAGCTACTCAGTGAGGACAAACAGCTGGGCCTCCACCTAAAGATGCAAGCAGAGAATAATCATTTACATCTTTAGCACAATCAGGTATCTTGTGCGTTGAAAGACAACTTGTGTGCCACCTTAAGAAGCAAAAACTTATTAACCTGATCATTTATTTACTTGTACATTTAGATGAATACATAGTGGATCACACTCCTGTTGCTTTGCTTGTTGAAACTGCAGTGCCCTGAGATGTGAGGCACAGCAGCTGGCACAGCCCTTCCACCTCAACAGGAAAAATGGAAAGAAGCCAGAGGCAGACAGCACTGCAGATGGAAAGGGTCAGTCATGGTAAGAATCAATAGTGCTGATGGTGTGTCACTTTTACTAAAGCTAGCAAGAGAAAATGGAAACATCCCTTTTAAAATATACTTTTTACTAAACTGTATTCTATTTTTCAGGAAATCTGAGTTCAAAACCTACTGATCCCAGCAGCCCTTGCATTGAAACACAAATGAACACAGAGTATGAACAAAAGATCTAAATGCAAACCATCTAAAGTGCATGACATATATGCAGGTACAAGTATCCCATCTCAGATGTAAATATCTGTAATACCAAACAGTGTACAGCTCAGAAGGGAATGCAAAAAAGTAAGAATTTTATTAGTGTTAGGTGTTTTAAGAAGCACCTTGCACAAGAAAGCATGATTTTTGTATAATTTCTTTCAAAACTTACACTGCTAAAAATTACATACATCTAATCACTGATTATTCTGCTGAAAGGTGAGAAAAAAGAATACCAGAATTGTTCAAAACATTGGTTACATTTAGGGAAAAAAGGGAGAAAAAACCTGTTCCCCCCACTATTATTTAAAGAAAGAACAGATCATCATGACTAAGCAAGCTCCAAACTGTTGCAGCCATGGTGCTCATCCATAAGCATCTGCATTAGGTATTTAATCCATACATCTCCTTCTCCCTTGAGTGTGGTCAAAGCAGCACCAAAACATGACCTTTGCAATCAACTTCAAAAAGAAGAAAAAAAAAAAAGCTAAAAAGTGCTTTCAAAATATTGACCATGTCTGAAAGGGCATTGCAACCATCTTGTCTCTGGAACACCCACCCTTTCTTTTTCTTTTTCTTTTTCTTTTTCTTTTTCTTTTTCTTTTTCTTTTTCTTTTTCTTTTTCTTTTTCTCTTTTTCTTTTCCATTTTTTTCTTTTTCTCTTTTTCTTTTTCTCTTTTTCTTTTTCATTTTTTTTTTCATTTTTTTTCCTTTTTTTGAGTAGCTGAGTAGCTTTTTCACATCTTCTGTGAAATAAGCTGTTTTTATGGATTTTTAACAGAAAATTGAATCCGGGGACTCCACCATGACTTCAAACTGTTAGCTTCACAAAGATGTGCTAAAAACACCCCAACACCCTGAGAGTAAAGATTTTGGCATAGCGTGGCATTGCACTTTTCCCACAGTGTAAAGCAAACAGCATATTCATACACAGCACAAAACCAGTCTTGGCTGCATGTTTATTAGAAATAGAACTATATAAAAACTGAACTTACCTTGAAAAGGGGCCACATTATATGCCACAGTTCAGATAATAATGGTATTGGATTATCAACTCTAAGAAGATAAAATCCTTAATTCACAATCAAATGCATGAAGCACAGTTTTTCTCAGAATTGCTTATTCAGAGAGACATTCAAGAGACTGAAAACTCACAGGAATTTGGGTGCAATTTTGGGTGCAATTTTCTAAAGCAGCTTTTCCAGGAAAGTCTGAAACTAAAATCCAACAGTATTTTGGGACTGGCTGCCTTACTGTTTTGATAGTGATCTTCCAGCACCAGGTGCAGAGTAAGATTGGAAAGCATGTCTGTAATCTCTTGAGCATCATTTCAAACTGCCACACACAGTTCTGGGTAAATGAGAGGTAAAATCATGCTTTCCTGCAAATGCCATATGATTCAAGATTTCATGCACTTGGTGTCCAAAAACTCCCAACATAAAACAAAGGGGAATATTAGCATTTTTTCTCCTCAGAATGCATTTTGTTAAATGTATTTTTCAGATACATTTGCAAGTGATGCCACTGGACATTGCTGAATAGAGCAAGGCACAACTGGGATTCAGCAGCTGCTCCCTTCCTGCTCTGTGCAGATAACACTAGGTTTCATGCATGTGGCAGCTTCTGTCATTTTCTGTCCAAGTCTGGGGGAGGGAAGGATACAGAAGATAGGAGAAAGCAATATTTTATATTGCTATCTAGCAAACTTCTCAGAAACATTGAAAAAATGGTGTTAACACAATTCTGAAAGAGAAACTGCTGCTCAGCTGAGAGGAAATATGACACCCAAAGAACCTCCTGGGGAGAAGTGGGTGAAGGTGTGCAGATATGACTTCTGAAGATGAAGAATACAGTACTTCTCTTTTTGATTCATAAACCAAATAATTTTTTGAGGCTTTGAAAATGTGAAAAATCTCTACCCCTTCTTAAAACAAAAGGTGTGTATCAGGCGACTAAGATAAACGTGATAATTAAAAGGAATAAAAAATAGTTGGAATGTTTTTGTAATTGCTCCCTAGTCACTGTTAGGCTTTTTAGGCTCCCTAGGCATTGTTAGGCTGATTAATGAATGTAGTTAGAAACCTTGAGCTAAAAGCATTTAGTGTGGAGCTGATGTTATCGTGCACACCACATTGTTAGGCTTTCAACCAAGAAAAAATTAAATCACTTCTTACTTTATAAAACACCTTTGAAAAGAAAGACCTAGGACAATATAATCTCTGTATGCCTCCTGCAAAGACTTCCCAAAAACATGTATTGGACAGCCTGCTCCATTTGCAAAGTTGTTGCCAGTAGTGATAATTGTTGCTGAAAATGCCTCCAGAGCTGAGGTAAACACCCCAGGGCACCCCAGTCACCCAGGTACTTCTGGGGGCACAGGCTCCCAGCAGGGACAAATCCCAGGTGCACCACCTCAAGGAGCTCCAGAGGACAGTAATTATAAACACAAAATGTAGTTCTTTCTCCAGATGGTTTTCAGTGTGAAGGTTATCTGAAGAACACTGTTTCTTTATCATTTCCCACCAAGTTTGCATAAGTCAGAACATACAAGGTCACTGCCTTCCTGTGAGCTGGAAGCTGCAGGCAGGCCTTGCTCAGCAGACAACATATTCAGCAAATGTTCTCCATGTTCCTTCTCAGAGTCCATCTTTAATTTAAAAAAATCTGCATAGCACTGTTGGCAGGAGCTTTTCATTTGATGGGGCTCTGCAGAAGATCACTTCTCTGTGAACTCTGAGTTCCTGGGAATCACTGCAGACCAGCTGGCTGCAAAAATACACACCTAGTAGAAATCTGTAGAGAGAAATTACTTATATGCTGGGTAGGAGATTTTCTTCTGTTACTGATAGGTTTTTTCCTGAGATGGAAATATTTATTACAGCATACATTGGGGCTTTAGTACAAAGTGAATAATTAGTCAACTGTGTTTGAAAGCTGATAAGCTCCACACAGAGCACTGCACTTCAAAACTACCAAAATGCTTAGATATGTAAACAACCCCACTGAAGCCACTGAGATTTCTTTTATGTCTAATGCTAAGCAAACATCCAGTCCTAATTAACTAGGACACAGCTTGGTAGCAGAAAAGTAACCAATTTTAGAAGTCTGGAAAATTTTAGGTGGTTTCATTAGCAATTTGTGGGTATTTGACTCTCTGTGTTAAGAAATTATAAAGCTTACTGCTAAGCAGGGATGGGTTTACTTGCAATCCAAAGTGATTCCTGAGAATATATTCATTGAAATGAGAATTAACAGCAATTAATTGCAAATAGTATTGGAAAAATCCCATTAATATTTTTTTCCTTCAGAATATTCTCTCACACTGAGAGAAATGGTAATATTTCCTTCATCCCTCAAACTTGTCAAGTAAGACATTTTCAGGAGTACCTCACAGTGGAGAACTGTGGAGGCTTTAGGCACACAGAGAGGCTGAATGAACAAATCATAACTGTGCTCCTCATTCCCCAGATGGCAAGCAGAGCTCTGCTAAAGCACACTGGGTAGCAGCTGCACATTAAACTTTTCTGGCAGTTGTGCTGACCACAGGTAAAGAATGACACAGACTCGAGCTTATGCTAAAGCCACAAGTTTGTTATATTTCACATACCAAAGCAGCATCTGGAGAAAGGACAGAGGGTGCTTCACAGTCAGCTGGGGATCCCTAAAGGAGACAGTGCTGGGTCCCTGGATTTCGCACCTCTCCCCTTTTTATAAGATATTCTGAAGGGCTGGATGAAAGCATGCCATGTTGGAAAGGTTGTTGCTGAGAAAGTGGAAGAACAGGAATGAAGCCACCTTCAGGGAGTTTTGCTTGTAGGGTAGATGAGATGCCAGTTTATTGATGGACCACATGACAAAACTGATGCTAAATACAATACTTCAGCTTAAAGGTGGTGTCCTACAACATCACTTGTGAGCCACACAGGTTTCACTTCAGGTACTGCTGTTACATAAGGAAGTTGGAAATGCTGAATTTAATGGAATTCTGAAAAAGCTAAAACCAGAACCAAATGAGTTTGGAAACTTCTGAAGTTAATCAGGTGAATCACTCAAAAAGTGGTGGCAAATGAACAGCCAGTTTCCTCTTATTTCCTCATCCTCATTTTCCATGGAAACTATTTCACAGGTCCAACTAGGAAATTTTTTCCAATGTTCAACCTGTTCAACCAATATTTTTCTCTTTTAATAAAGCTCTCACTGAGAAGCTCTAACAATAACAGAAAAAAGCTTGTAATTCTACGGGCAAGGCAATATAGATGTAGACTTCTATGCAGGTTCCCACAGCCTACCTGCCTCCTAGGGCTCACTGGCGTCCCTGATGATTACACCGTGTATTTCCTTGTACAGAAAGGAAGTCTCCTGATTCCAGGCCAACCACTATAAATATACCAACAAGAAGCTGCACTTTTTGGATGGTGCAGTAACTTGCATGATCACTGTCATCGTATTTTCCAATTCCTTTTGCTTTAGCCTCCCATCTCATCTCTCCTGCAGGCTGGAAGTCAGGTAGTTTTTGTGAGATGGTCACAGAGTGCCCGGCAGGAACGCTACCGACCTTGAGCAGCCAGCACTTGGTGCCTCTTACTGCTGCTGCCCACTGTGCACCAAGGCCCGGCTGAAACAGGTCAGGGACGACGTACACCGCCCCGGCAGCCGTGAATGGAGCCTGGCCGAGGAAAAATATTGCTTTCCTTGCTGTATGGTTGCTTTGAAATTTCCGTTCAAAGGCACCCGAGGGGCACATAACGCCTTCCTGCGGGCTCTCTCCCCCACGCGAGCGAATTTGAGGCCAAACTCCGGCCACAAAGCAAAGCCCCTGAGGGCATGGGGGGTGGGCGAGGTCCGCCCGCCCGCCCCCACTGCCCCCGGGCCCGGCCGGGGCGGCTCCCCGGGGATCCCCGCAGCGCAGCCAGTGCCTCCCTCCCGCGGGCCCTGCCGGAAAGGCTGCGGGCAAACAGCCCCGCCAGTGGCCCCGGGTGCTGAGCCGAGCCGAGCCGGCGGGAAGGGCGGCCGAGGCACCGCGGCACGGCCACATCAGCCCCCGCCTGCCCGGCGCTCGGCTGCTGAGCCGCGCAGCGGCCCCCAGGAGGCGGCGGCGGCCGGGGACGCTGAGGAGGAGCCGCCTGCGCGGCCCAGCGGCGGCGGCAGGCGGGCCGGACACAGCGACCAACCGAGCGACCGAGCAGCCGCGGCACGGAGAGAGGGAGGGAGAGAGGGAGGGAGGGCAGAGCGGCAGCGCAGCCCGCGCCGGCAGCGCCATGGCCACCAAGGTGAGCAGCGCCCGGGGGTCGGAGGCGGCGCCGGGGCGCCCTCTGCGCCAGCGGGCCCGGCGGGGCGGGCGGAGCCGGTCCCTGCCCGGACCCTGCCCCCGGCCGCGGGAGGGACGGAGGGAGCGCCGCGCTCGGGCCTCGGCGCCGCTGCCCGGCCCCCGCTCGGGCTCGGCGGCTCCGGGGCGGGGGAAAGTTGCTTTTGTGCTGTGCTTGTGCCCCTCCGTCCCCACTCCTCGGCGGAACGACCGTAGGGCCGAAGAGCCGCCGGAGGCCGAGGGTGCTGCTCCTGCAGCCCGGGCGCCCCTTGTCCCGCTTCCACCGAGCCCGGGAGCGGCGGGGCGCTGGGAGAGGCCTCGGCCAGCGGCGGGCCCGGCTGGCCCGGCTATCCCGGCCCGGCTGTCTTGTCCCGGCCCGGCTCGCTCGGCCCCCGGCGCGCCAGGGCAGCTGATGCTGACCCCCTCGGTGGCATCCGGGGGTGGCTGTGCCCTGTCTCTGGTGGGAGCCCAGAGTCCGCCCTGCGCGACCTCTTAATAGTGAGCTGTGATTTTACACACGGGGGAAAAAAAAAATCAAACCCAACGACAACAACAAAAAAAGACAGGAAGTTAAATTGTTTTGTTCAGTTCTTCAACAGTATCTGCTGCTATCTGTCAAAATTAGTCCATCCTATCTCAAAGTGGCCTCTTTCTAAATAAACAATATTTGTTTACTATATTGGTTGATGAAAGCATCTCTGCTTGTGTAGGTGTGAGTTAACATGCACCAGCAACTCATCTGTGACTTGTCTGAGTATCTCAGGAAGACTTTTTTGGTATTTGAAGTATTACTTTGAGTCACCTGATTCCATTAGGTTGGCCAGCAGTTTAGAAAACTTCCTTTTACTGAGGCGGTTCTCATACAGTGCACGATTTGTGTTGCCCTTCTCAGCGCTGAAGAAATTCCACATCTTGAATGTGTCAGATGTAATGTACAAGTGGCTGTCTCTGTAACCATGTAAGCTGATGGTGGCTCATGTTTGGATAAACTTTTTCCAAAGCACCGAGAACTTGATTTTAGGTTTCAAAATCACTTAGGCAGTTTAAAAATACAGAGAATATACTCAATATAGTGCAATTTATGTTTCTGTTGAGTTTTTAGAATATTGTTGATCGACTTGGTTTTTCTACATTGGTGGGTTCCAGTAATTCATGGGATGTGTGCATGAATATTTTTTACTCAATCTGACAATTGTAGGCAGCAAGATAATTACTTCTGGTGTGTATATACTACATAATACTCAGTATGTGAGGCAGGTACTGTGCTAAACCAGTGTTTTATTTCTCAGCTCACTTTGAGGTGCAGTATCCTCATGGGATCCTGTGTTCTGTACCTAACACACGATCCATTTTATTCATACTTTTGGAAACTTTCACTTTGCTCTTCTTTAAATATTTTTTGGAAACATTATGGCCCCAGACGGAAGGGCGTATAATTTCTGACTTCCTAATCCAGACTGCCTTAAAATCAGGTGGTGCAATTTTTTTCATTCCGCACGTTGCAAGATAGGGTAATTTACTTTGACTTGAAGGCTAAAATTGGTAAGTGGTGGTCAGGAAAGACTTGTTATTTTATTGCCATTATTTTGTTATTCTGGTAACTCTGAGCAGCACTGAAGAGAAGCTAACTTTATTTTCT